CTATGGACTGAAACCTCTACAGATGTGAGCCAAAGAAACCTTCCCTCTTAAATGGTGGGTGTTGCGTATTGTGTCTCAGCTATGAGGAAGCAACTAAGACAATATTTTAATAAGCACTTTTCTTCTCAGAGTTCAAAGCTATAACAGACTGAGGCCTCTTTTCTGCATTTTTCTGGCAGGTGTCTTTTTCAACAACAAAATTTTGTGTCAAGGAGGAAACTGCAGAGATAAGAGGTTGGCTAGAAGCACTGGAACAAAACAAAATTCTTGATTGCCCAGGCAAAAAATCCTGAACACTCAGAATTTGAGGAAAAAATGTTTTGTTCTTAAAAGTTAGTGCCCAGGCAGCTGGTGACTATAATCTTTTAGCTTTAACCTTGTATCTACAAGTAAGTTTAAAGAAAGGGAGAAAGAATGATGCCATGATACATACACACAGAGGTGCAAAAAGTTTTTCTTCAGTAGGAAAAATGGAGATACAATTAGTTGCCATGCCTGCCTCCACAGATCCAGTACTTGGTGGTCAGTGGTTAAGCAGCAGGTGGAAACACAGCCCAGAACATTCCAGAGATCTCCAGAAGCTCCCAAAGCTGTTCTAACATGACTGCCACCTTACTTTTCTTCCTGTTTCAGTTAAAGAAATGGACTGTAATTCAGAGCTAGCTTTGCAGGCTGCAAGTTAGGCAGTCACGTAGGGATGCATGCATAGAAGTATTTTGGAGTAATGCAACATTCTGTTCACTATTTTGAAATTATTGATAATTTCAGAATAAGGGAGCTTGAATTTTCACTTTACTATGGACCCTGAAAATGATGTAGCCACTCCGGCCTGAGTTTATCTACAATGAGAACAGAGCATAATCGTTTAAATACTGTCATTTACTAATACTTACTAATTTCACACATATTTTTGAGTATGTTAGGTATTGTGACAGGTACTAGGAACGCAATGGCAAATAGGAAACTATTGTTTCTGTCCTTCAAAAGCTTTACCTAGTAGCTGAGGAAAGGGACAATGAAAGAGGGGATTATAATAAAGTATAACAGACATCCCAAGAAGAGAGATACTATGGGAGCAAGTAGCAAAATCCTGTTGTAAGGAATTTTCATGTCCTGATATATTGTTGATCAAGCTACGCTCTCTGTTTTTGAAAGGTGATGGGTAGGATGTTGTTGCAATATAACATGAGTTTCTGCTACAAACCGTACGGCTAGGATTTATGTTATTTAGCATTAAGAGGTTTTCATTAGGTCCTAAGAGGGCTGGAAAGGAAGGCAGATTGTTCTCTTTGATAAATTAGTGGTGGGTCACAGTGAAATCCAACAATCAAGAATGGTAGTGCATTATTTGGGAAGCAATTTCCCCAGTTAAGAGACACCAACGTTGTAATCATAGCTGCTTCTAAAGAGGACACAATGAATTCATGCGTTTTGCTCAGTGGCCTGCATAACTTAGTTAATCCCTTTACCTAAGCCCATGTTAGAAGGTTGATGTAGAAAGTAGTGGTGACCCAAAGTGAAACAACGGGCCTCAGAATTGTTCTGTGCGGGTGGAGGGGTGTTTAGTAATGGATGATAGGATGGGGTCCTTTATTGACAAGCTGCCACGCGCTGTTTGCATTAGTGAATATGAGAAGATGATGGTTGCTTCTGTGAGGGTCCCACAGGGGCTCCGCTCAGTGAGATAGCAGCAAACGCTTTGGTTTACTTAAAGCATTGATAACACCTCTAAATAATTAACTGAGGACTTCCTGTCTTCAATTACTTAATGCTTTTTTTAACATCTTGAGAGGATTATAAGCAATTTATGGATTTCACGTGATGAGTCCTTCCCTGCTATTCCCACAAAGCATTTACAGGATCATGTTTCTAAAGCTTTGAGGTAATTAAAAATAAGCACGGAGACAATGGGGCTGAGGCAAGGTGCAGGCGCTCCCTCCTGTCATTTCCAAGGACCTCGATTTTTCAGGCTCGGGGAAGACTCATGCTACAGCTTCATTAGTACTCTGTTGCTTGGGGAATGTCAGGGTTTTGGAAATGATGAGGAAATCAACACATTCATCCTAGGGGCTTCAGGCAGCCCTTTCATCAAACATCTGAGATGCAGTGGGAAATAAATTTGATTATTTTAGTTCATTCCATGAGCTCAATAAAACAGTCATTCACATCATAAATACTTCGGTACTGCACTTGGTCAGTCAGCTAACCGTGCAACTGAATTTTTGCTGGCAGATAAAATGTGCAACATTATACAGATCTCAGGTATTAGATTATCTCATGCCGGTACTGCTCCTGTCCCACAGGAACTGCATAGAGAAGGCTCTGCACTGGGTGAAGTTTTGCTGAATGACACTTTGTTTTCTCACACAACAAAGAAATCCCTCTTTTTAAGGTTTTTGCCCAAACATCACATTTTCTGTATTTACAACAGAGCAGAGGCATAGATCGAATGACTTCTAAAAGTATTTTCCACTTTTTTGATTTGTAAAAATTAAAATTGTGTGCATAGACTTTTTTATTGTAACAAAAAAGGATATCTGGCAGCAGGGTGTTTAGTATTTGAAATCCTCTGTGACACAAAAATATTGACTGAAAATGACAATGAAAGGAAGAACTGGCAGAGGGAAGGAATTTAAAGAAAAATCTTTGCAATTATTTAATGATTAATGAGGCCATCAAGCCTGTTGGTTGGAATGTTACAGTTGAATTTGTTCTGTTGATGTACAAATGCTGGTTTCTAGAAAAATGCAAGCCAGTACCACTGGCAACAACTCAAAGCCAATGCTGGTTAAATAGATTCCATAAGAAGAAATGTGTTTAATCGTGGATCTTGGTTTATTGTACACTCTTCACTGGTACAAAATCTGTTATAGTTGATACATCGTGTCAGTTTGAGGAGTTTAGAAACTTGACTAAGTAACTCGGTTCTACATTTGTAGGGTGAAAAGGACACGCCCTTACCATGTTGTTCATTGTGTCAATTTGCGAAGTTTAAAAGTTCAACTAAGGGTATTCAACAGGAGTCCAGGGTCCTTACTTTGCAAACATTCTCAGCTTGTGGAAGAGGAGGGCACAGAGATGGTGTGGGCTGCTGTGAGTGTGGGCAGATAGCCCATATACAATATAAGGGAGGAAAATAAGCTTGTGTCCCCTCTTCTGCCCCTCCCTTTTTGCTCTTGTTGCTTTTGCTGTCTTCTGCTGCTGCCTTGGATTCTTGCCCATGTGCCATTCCACCTTGCCTTGGAGCCAGCTGATTATGGACTGAAACCTCCACAAACTGTGAGCTAAATAAACCTTTCCTTCATTAATTTTGGGTGTCGGGTATTTTGTCTCAGCAATGAGAGAAAAGTAATGAAGACAAAGTCTTATTGTGCATTACCTTGGCTTTCAAAAATCTAGTTAGCATCCCCCATGTACTCCAAGCCTCTTTCATGATTTCCACCCCAGGCTTGTACAAAGTCGCCCTGTAGCACCTGCTATACCGTATTTGCAGTTATTCTTTAGCATGTCACTCTTCAGCTCACAGACAGCGTCTCAGAAGCAGGAACTTGGCTAGCTAGGACTCAGCAAGTGGGGAACTTGGTTTTGAGAATGAAATGGAATTTGCTTTGCTTGTAAGTAGAGTAGTGATGCCTTGGACACACTGAGCAGGTCAGCTCCTTCTTCATTACTCAGATGTGGATAATAAAATGTCCCTCACTTAGGAGGAAGGGATGAGAATCAAATAAGCCCAAATGCAAATGGTGCTTTAAAATGACAAATCTAGATATAAAGGCAAGGTTTTAATATACAGAACAGCACCATGTCAGTCACTTGTTGTGATTTTCATTTCAAGTGAAATAAGAATAAGAAACCAATGAAATTTGAATTGATGAGAGATTTCTCCACACCCATGGTGGCCAGTGGGTTAGCTGGGGATCTGGAGATGAGAAAAGCAATGTTCCTACATGCAAATACATATTCAGCATCTAAACTTTCACAACTATTTGGGACAACTCCATGGACCCAAGTAAGGCACTAAGATATGTAATCTCTCAAAGTATTCTCTCCCATAAAGCGGAGGTGATAATGCTTTCTATACCACAGGATTGTGAAGATAACCAACTTGACAGCACATGGGAGGGCTCAGGTAGACTTTGGCATGTGTGAAATTCCTCTGCTTCCCAAACATTTATTTAGCTCCTATTGTTGAGTTAAGGATTATTCTAGGCATTACTGGTACTGCATGGAGCAAGATGGGTCAGGTCCTTGCTCTCTTGATGCTGCATTTGAGGGGGTCATAGAAAAGCCAGGCAATGAGAGGTCTGCAATTGGAACAGAACAAAGTGACGTGGTAGTATGTTAAGAGAAGCTGCTGCTGACTACACCAGAAAATACATCTTTTCTCCTCCAAAGTAACATCCAAGCTAGCATGTGTTACTGATTATTATAGTCACTATAAACAGTGATCTAACATCATGCTATTGTGCTGTCTTATATTACATTATTAAAGTTAATGATAATAAACAATGTTATAATACAAAATAAAAATAATACAATTACTTTATGCATTAATAATAGTAAGAGTCACAACCAGTCAACTGTCAACTAGCTGTGAGCCTCAATTACCCGCTTAGTGGACAAAGGTCAGCTTGCAGCTGATTTTCTCCTGCCTTCCGTAGATTCTTGGCTGTCCTAAGCCCGTTATCTATGAGGATACCCTTGAGGAATGAAATGCACCTTACTGTTTGTTTGGAAAAAAAAGTTAATACCGATGCAAAAAACCCTACTCATAATGCATATCAAAGCCAAATATAAATTATTTCTGAAGTTATCTGCTGTTGTGGCTTATTGCTGCCAGTGTGGGCTCTTCTATTAGCATGGATAAGTGGGACCTGACCATATGTCAAGAGTACGCGTCCTTTTGAAGTGACCTCATATATCAAACACACACCACTGGGACGCCCTGCCCCCCTCACCACAATGACAGACTCCTCCAGTAGGTTTTCTGTTTTTTTCACCTGTAACCGTATGCTGTCTCCTGTGACTGATGTCAGTGTAGATGAGACCTCTGCCGCCCTGCCAGAGCTGGTACGCTTTAATGACACCATTCGGTTTCCCCGGGACACTCCAGCTTAGATGCAGAGACTCCGCAGTTAGGGCCGTGACGATGGGTGGCATGATGTTTTCTGGAACTCCTTGGGTCATAGCTACAACTACCTGGAAGCAGAGGAATTAAACAGCAATTTATTGTAGCAGTACACTGGGTATCCTGATCAATGGGAATGTCACTTTTGTTTTAAAATGTTGTTGTCTGGCCTGGCATATCATTAGCCCAGGCTTCAAGAAGCAGTCCCCCTTTTTTTATTCTTTTCTTCCCATCCTATTTAAACAATGAAATCTGACCTTGAATACATTACATAAGTCTCCCACTACCATTCATCACAATAGGTTCAACAACAATTTTGACGGTGGAATGCAACCCTCAGTTTAAACAAGGGGAATCTGGCTGGCAGACTGTCTTCCCAGAGAACTCTTGATAACTCTCTTCCATATGGCCCATCAGTGTCTTTGCATTTTAACAGCCTGATTTTGTACATTTTAAGCACCAGTAAATATGGAGCAAAACCTATATCCAAACTTGCTTGCATATAATATGCTTCGAGCTATATAAACGGGTAGACCTTTGAGCACTCTTCCGGTGACACCAGGGATGATTTTATAGCATCTGCATCAGTGTCTTAGAAAAAGAAGTGAGTGAGAAGGAAAAAATGAAAGATCACCCAGAGAGTGTCAGTAATGGCAAAAGGTAGTTTTGCACAAGCACTGGCTGTGTCTTTTTTTTTTTTTTTTTTTTTTTTTTACCTTTTAACCCATTGTTTTGGCATCCGGTGGATTTGAGCTGAGTCTGTGTTAGAAAGCACAGAAAGACTGGAAGATCACTCGCTGTCACTTGTGAGGCGGCTGCTGTCTGGCTCTTCCGCGGTGCTCAGGCAGGTCTGGGGATCTGCCGCCCCTGCCCCTGCCCTACCCCTGCCCCGCCCCTTACGGCTGAGCATTATCCATTTGGTTCCTTCCACTGTGAGAAGACACTGCTCTCTGAAAATTTAAAGATGGAAAGAACCGGAGCTGTTGAATGCTTCTGTGTTTCTTCTCAGGCTGCTGCTGGCACCACCGTTGGCTTCTGTGAAAGACTCTTTCTCTATTTTCCTCCTAAATTGTTTGCTTCTTCCCTGTCTTCTTTGTGGGAGCTTCTTTCCTCTTCCGTTAGTAGCTCGTCTATGGAATTCTGCGTGTCTCCCTCTAGAGTTCCTTTGGATGACCACATTTAAGTTCATCACTTCAGTTTCCCACATAGATCTTTCTAGCAAACTCCAATTACCTAATTCACCATCGGATTAAACATTTTCATGTAAAATATTAACTTTCCCTGTTACCCTGCTATTAGTTCCTTCTAAGTATTATTAATTTAAAAATTTAATTTTATTTTCTCTTAACATTTATCTTTTTTTAAAAAAATGTTTCTTGGGGCTGGGGATATAGCTCAGTGGCATAAGCGCCTGCCTGGCAAGCGCGAGGTTGTGAGTTCAATCCCCGGTACCGCAAAAATAAATAAATAAATAAATGTTTCTTGCAAAATGGTACCATATTCACAAATTTCTCAAACCAGCTGTCTTAAAACTGTCCAGGAGACTTTCCTGTTGTTCCTCTACAGAGTTGATATCAAGCCCTGTAGATTTTTCCCTACTTTCTGTTGTATCTTTCTGACATTCCCCTTTCTGACCTCTCATGCCTGAGTTCAAGTCTTCATTATTTCTTGCTAAGCTGACTATGGAAGACATACAACTGATTATTTCCTGTGCTAAGCTTGTTTGTTCTTTTTTAAAAGCAGGGATTTTTTTTTTGCAGATATAATACTTAAATATAAATTCTTTTCACCTGAAAAATGGCTTGAAAGTGTTTCTGGATTTACATGATATCAGTGTTTTTATTCTACATTTTGTTGCTGTAATAGAATAACAGCAAGTGGGAAACTTATATAGAAAAGAGGTTTGCATTTCGGGCTCATGGTTCTGGTGGCTGCACCTTGTATTTCAGCTCATGGCTGCGCCATGTATCTGGTGAGGGCCTTGTATTTCAGCTGATGGTGGAAACACAAGTACAGACAGGCTTAGGTGAAAGAAACAAAACTGGAGGCTGCTGTGCTTCGACAGCTTGCTCTTACTGGAACTAATCTAGTTCTAGAGAGCATTCATTTCTTCATGAAGGCAGACCTCTTACGATTACAACTCCTCCTGAAGGTCCCTCTGCCTCCCAACATGGTTACATTGTGACCCAGCCTCAGCATGAGTTTGGCTGGGAAGAAATCATACCAAACTATAGCAATTACAAAAATAATTGATGAGAGCAGACTATGAAAGAGAAGATACCGGTTCAATGCTTTATTTGTTTTTAATTAATAGAACATTGATACTTGGATAAATGTACCTTATATTGATGTCTTCTTGTAGATGTAAGTATTAACACCTAATTAAGTGAATAAGGAACACTCTATTCAAACCACTGTGAAGGGGACTTTGCTCTGTGTCATTGGAAAAGTCCCTCAAACTATTTACCTTGTGGCTGGCAGCACAGCCTGCTATGGTGCAAGCTTCCAGCTGGTAGGAATACTCCTGGAATGGGTGGATTCCCTCTGTGTCAGAGAAGCTCAAGGAAGTTCCCCGAAAACGTTCAATTCCATTTCGGAGAAGAATATAGTAAATGATAGGACCTAAAAGACACAGAGAAATGGTGTATTTGAGTATTGTATAATTTGAACTATTTGCAAACAATTTACATGTCTTAGTGTCCTGAAAAAATGGGATACTGTGGCAATATCTAATTTCAATTTGTTTCCATAGTGCCATGCTCAAGCAGGTCTTACTTATGCTATCATGGAGGAAATGGATTCTTGATGTAATCAAAGGTCATTTGTGTTTATTTCCCTTCAGTATCAAACAATGTTAAAACTATTTTGATTTACCTGAACATACCCTGGTTATTTAAAAGCAGCTCAGATATATGCTATGATTCAAAGTTATTTTTTCATTATTTTGGTTAATAATAGGTACACATGTAGTTCATAATGATGACATTCTTAGTGGGAAGTTGGTACGTGTACATAATACATTTCAATTTCTTTTTCATTCCCTTGCCCTTCCCTCTGGGGCTCCACCCATCTTTTGAGCCCTTTACCCACTTTTCGGATACAGGTCTACAGCACACAATGTTTATATTGCTGGTGTGAAGTTGGTCCACATATGTGAAACATCCCAAATCCTTTTTAAAAATTCCTTATCTCTTCCCTCTTGTCTGTCTCCCTCTATCTCTTGATCCCCTTCCTTGCTGAGAAAGGTCTGTCTCCCTGCTTCTTCTTATTATCTGTCTTTTATTTGGCTCTTTATTTTTAGTCTGGGTTTCTCATTTAAGAGAAACAATGCGATATTCAAGCTTGTGTGTTATGTACTTATTTATTTATGCTAAAATTTCACGAGCGCCACTCCAGAAAGCGACTGACGGGATGGCGCAGAAGCAGTGGTTTGATGCATGCCAGTTACATTCATCTCAATAATCTTTGGATTCTTGAGATTAGGTTGTTTCTACTTGAGAAATAGCGTAATACCATTTGATTGTATAGGTTTCTTCCAGTGTAAGACAATTGTATCTTCAAGACTGCCCACTTTGGTCCACCGAGGAGGAGTCACACCCTCAGGCACGTCTTCTTTTGTGCTGGCTCTAACGGCTTGGCTGAAGCCTCTCCCGTAGCTGTTCCATGCAGAAATCCTATATTCATACATTGTGTAGGGGTTGAGGTTCACATCTGGAAAGACAGAACAAAGGTTATCATGCTTCCTTGTTTGTTTGCTTTTTTACTATCATATTAAAAATGAACATCCAAACCTTTAAACGTATATTTAAAAATGTTCTCCTGTCTTTCTACATAAACAAAGTTCTAATACCTTTATTTTCAAAATCCTAAAACACATCTTAAATATTTATTAGTCATGGGGGTATGGAAAAATAACAGAATAGAGTTCATCATTTCTGTGCAGAGAAGTGTGGAAACATTAAAGAAATGATTGAAAAGTAAGAGTACTTGGCCAGTGTAGAATTAGATGCTTCACAAGCTCATGTACCCTTTACTTCTGTTTGAAATAGGTTTGCCAATATTATTTTTTAGTTTTATTATTATAAATTTTAGCAAGTATTATTTTCTGTTACTTTGCCACTATTACTTCATTAGAAAATTATATGAATTATAATGAAGGACTCAAAACTTACCTTCTCACAGTACCATGTTAGTGACTGACAAGGAATGCACAATCTACAACATATTCCTGTCCTTTTCTACCAAAGCCAGAACTGCAACTCAAACCAAAACTATGCCTTCTGCTTAAAATGATAGAATCATCCTTGCTGAGACTTTTGACTGTGTGAAGTTTTATAGAAAACATTCCCATGAGTCCATGGTGTCTCCAAAGCCTAAGCTTCATGCTAAGCTTTACTAATCTAAGAAGTATAAATAGTCCAGATTTGCAGAAAAATTTTTATCTTAAACATTTCTTTGCTTCTTTCAGTGCCTCTTCTGCAGCCTGAAGACCCACAGAGAAGGTCCTGGCCCCCTGCACTCTCTCCACCGAATGTGGCATGAATTCAGCCCGTCCCCTTGGGTCCTTTGAGGCACACTCTCCTTACAATTAACCTTGCCCTGCCTACTTTATAGAATTAATATGAAAATAAAATAGAGTAAGTTATGTGGCAGAACTTCATAAAATGCAAATTTCGCTATAAATGTAAAGGATTATTGCTCTGGTTTGGATCTGGAATTTCCCCCAAGGCCCATGTATTAAAGTCATGGCCCCCAGCCTGTGATATAATTGGGTAGTGATGGAAACTAAGAGACAAGAGGTAGAAGGAGGAAGTGAGGTCATTGGGGGTGTGGCCTTAGAGTAGATCTTGGGATGTGGATCTCTTCCTTTTCCTTTTGCTTCCTTTCCTTTATCATGAGGTGAGCAGCTTTTTCTGCCACAGGCTTCTGCCAAGATGAACTGCTTTACAAAAGGCTCAAAAGCAGTAGACCCAACAACCATGGACTGAAACCTCTGGCGAAAACCTTTCCTTCTTATAAGCTTATATATCTCAAGTATTTATTACAGTAACAGAAAGGTGTCCAACACAACTACAGTCTATCTTCTCTGGTAATAGGATACTGATCAGGCTGAGACCCACACAGAACCAGACCAGACCCTGTGACACTAGAGGAATCTTTATTAGGTGGGAAAGTGACACGGCAGGCTGCCCAGTGGACTAGGACAGCCCTGAGCTGAGCAAAGCATGGGGCTTTTAAGCTATTTTCCAAGGAGGATGTCCACGGGCTAGAACACTTTTGGCAGTGGGGGGTGGTGTGTCCGTAGGTCAGAACAACCTGAGCGGGGGGTGGGGGTTGTTTGTCAGAGTTGAACATCTGGTTCTGCCAAGGCAGATGAGGGCAGGGTTGGCTTTTGTCGAGGGCAACTGGAGGGGAACAGGTGAAGAGGAAGGAGCTTTTATTATTGAGAATTTAAGTCCCCCATGGGGGGGGTGCCTTATGACTTATCAGATACCTGTACCACTTGTCTGTGATGATCATCAGCAGATCCCCAAATTTCCCTTGCATCCTGTCTCTTGAGCTTCTATTTAGAAGCTGTATTACCCCATTTTTTTTGAAGCTAGCAATCCCTTTTAAAGAGGACCCCCCCCACTTTGCCAGGAATCTCCTGCAGAAGGAGCTGGGATGCCATAGGATCCCAGGCTGCACCATGTAGATGGAAACACCACCTGAAGCATAATGAGCTACAAGATGGAAACCTCAGACCCTCCAATGACCTTGTGGACTGAGCTATCCAGACCACCCACCTACCCACAATTGCTCACTCTATTTTTACACACCTTGCTCTAGCAGATGAAACTTCTCTGTGCTAATAACTACTATTCTGCACCTTCAGGCTCACATCACCGTTTCTCATTCCAGTTGCTGCAGCTCTCTGAGGGGCTTTCCATAATCTTTATCTTACTATTTTTAGTTCTCCTTTTTTCTCCTCTCATCTCTTCTTGTTTCTTTATTCTGCAAGTGCTAGTCTTTCAAAGATGCTCTCAGCTCATGACATAGAATCATTCATTAAAGTTTTGCCTTTCTCAGCAATCTTTCTCATTTTCAAAGTTCTATTCTTTTCAATAATTGCCAAGTCTCCTACCTCCATTTCCTGCACACCCTTCTTGAAACTTCCTGGCTCAGGATCATTCTGTGTATTATACTGGACTAACCTTCCAATAACAGAAGGTGTGTGAGGGTTTGGAGGACAGGTTTAAACAGTATTTATTTGTTATTTCCTGAATGTCCCATGTATACAGTATTTGTCCTACTTCCACCACAGCTTTAATAGCTGACAGTCTTTTCCTTCAGAAATGTGCGTATACTTGTGTCTTCCCGTTGTTTAGAAAGCTTT